ACACGGGGAATTTTAACGCGGGGTTGCGTGGGAGTTTAAAAGACAAAATACAAACAATATTTAATTTTGAAAAAAGTTGAAAAACGTCCCGAAACGCCGAAGAACCGTTACTTTGCTAACTTAGAAAGCGAAAACCTAAAGCACAAAGTATAATTATAGCACACGTTGTATCTGTTTGACTGTTTACCAAGGTAAGATATTTTAATTTTACTTTGTCTTTTTAAAAAAAAATTTCCTCGCGACGTTTTTAATCAAGTTTACTATAGTTTTTAATCATGTTTAAACGTTCACTAACTATTTAAAACAGTGCTTTCTTCGCATGCAAGCATGTACGTTGAGTGAATTATATACTTTGTAAAGTAAGCCTGAAAGTTGCTGTCTGTTGTTTTGACAGCGATGTACTTGTTTACTTCGCTATATGCTTTTATATAAATTATTCTTTACACGAACGTATATTAAGGTGGAATTAATATTTGAATGAAAGCAATTAAAATCAATAAATTTATCTTTTCTATTGTTTTTAAAAGGCTATTTTATAAAGGAAATAGAAAACGTTTTTCCGTGTTTCTATAGAGTTTATAGAAACACTTGTGAAAGTTTGGGAGAAACTCGAAATTGCGTGGAAACACTCGCACTTCGTGCTCGTGTTCCCACGCAATTCTCGTTTCTCCCAAACTTTCACGCGTGTTTCTATAACTCTATAGAAACACGGAAAATGTTTTCTATTTCGAAGTTCGGAAAATTTGTGGTCAAAGTTTCGTGAAATCGACTGTAAACATCAATTAAACTTTTAATAGCATATAATCATAGTAATTTAATAACATTATAGTATTAAACTGCTATGGAATATTATAAAACATAAACATTTAATAGTTGTATTTAAATTTGCATGGCACAGGGTATAATTTTCGCTTATTCTTACAATAAATTTCACGCCACCTTGACCACGAGGGCGCAAAATACGATCAGCGCGCCCACATGCTTGCCTGAAACTATGTTTTGCTGCCTTAAAATTTGTGGGTGGGATTCTGGGCAACCATTTGTCAAATCCCCGGGGTCCTCCAATACCCGCCCCCCGTGCACATATATGAAAGGCAAATTCCCGACCCCCGTGAACTGTCTATCGGGCAAATTCCCGGGGGTGTCCCGGGGGGGGGATGGTTACTCCAGGAATTGACTCATGCATAACCTCTTGTCAACGCCAATCTTGGCCGGTTCACACGGAGGATTTTCACGCGGGGTTGCGTGGATTGCGTGGGAGTTTAAAAGACAAAATACAAACAATATTTAATTTTGAAAAAAGTTGAAAAACGTCCCGAAACGCCGAAGAACCGTTACAAAAAAAGGCAACACTTTGCTAACTTAGAAAGCGAAGACCTAAAGCACAAAGTCAAAGTATAATTATAGCACACATTGTATCTGTTTGATTGTTTACCAAGGTAAGATATTTTAATTTTACTTTGTCTTTTTAAAAAAAAATTTCCTCGCGACGTTTTTAATCATGTTTACTATAGTTTTTAATCATGTTTAAACGTTCACTAACTATTTAAAACAGTGCTTTCTTTGCATGCAAGCATGTACGTTGTTGAGTGAATTATATACTTTGTAAAGCAAGCCTGCTGTTAAGTGCTGTCTATTGTTTTGACAGCGATGTACTTGTTTACTTCGCTATATGCTTTTATATAAATTATTCTTTACACGAACGTATATTAAGGTGGAATTAATATTTGAATGAAAGCAATTAAAATCAATAAATTTATCTTTTCTATTGTTTTTAAAAGGCTATTTTATAAAGGAAATAGAAAACGTTTTTCCGTGTTTCTATAGAGTTTATAGAAACACTTGTGAAAGTTTGGGAGAAACTCGAAATTGCGTGGAAACACTCGCACTTCGTGCTCGTGTTCCCACGCAATTCTCGTTTCTCCCAAACTTTCACGCGTGTTTCTATAACTCTATAGAAACACGGAAAATGTTTTCTATTTCGAAGTTCGGAAAATTTGTGGTCAAAGTTTCGTGAAATCGACTGTAAACATCAATTAAACTTTTAATAGCATATAATCATAGTAATTTAATAACATTATAGTATTAAACTGCTATGGAATATTATAAAACATAAACATTTAATAGTTGTATTTAAATTTGCATGGCACAGGGTATAATTTTCGCTTATTCTTACAATAAATTTCACGCCACCTTGACCACGAGGGCGCAAAATACGATCAGCGCGCCCACATGCTTGCCTGAAACTATGTTTTGCTGCCTTAAAATTTGTGGGTGGGATTCTGGGCAACCATTTGTCAAATCCCCGGGGTCCTCCAATACCCGGCCCCCGTGCACATATATAAAAGGCAAATTCCCGACCCCCGTGAACTGTCTATCGGGCAAATTCCGGGGGGGGGATGGGTTACTCCAGGAATTGACTCATGCATTAACCTCTTGTCAACGCCAATCTTGGCGCCGGTTCACACGGGGGATTTTCACGCGGGGTTGCGTGGGAGTTTAAAAGACAAAATACAAACAATATTTAATTTTGAAAAAAGTTGAAAAACGTCCCGAAACGCCGAAGAACCGTTACAAAAAAAGGCAACACTTTGCTAACTTAGAAAGCGAAGACCTAAAGCACAAAGTCAAAGTATAATTATAGCACACATTGTATCTGTTTGACTGTTTACCAAGGTAAGATATTTTAATTTTACTTTGTCTTTTTAAAAAAATATTTCCTCGCGACGTTTTTAATCATGTTTACTATAGTTTTTAATCATGTTTAAACGTTCACTAACTATTTAAAACAGTGTTTTCTTTGCATGCAAGCATGTACGTTGTTGAGTGAATTATATACTTTGTAAAGTAAGCCTGCTGTTAAGTGCTGTCTGTTGTTTTGACAGCGATGTACTTGTTTACTTCGCTATATGCTTTTATATAAATTATTCTTTACACGAACGTATATTAAGGTGGAATTAATATTTGAATGAAAGCAAATTAAAATCAATAAATTTATCTTTTCTATTGTTTTTAAAAGGCTATTTAATAAAGGAAATAGAAAACGTTTTTCCGTGTTTCTATAGAGTTCATAGAAACACTTGTGAAAGTTTGGGAGAAACTCGAAATTGCGTGGAAAGTGGAAACACTCGCACTTCGTGCTCGTGTTCCCACGCAATTTCTCGTTTCTCCCAAACTTTCACGCGTGTTTCTATAACTCTATAGAAACACGGAAAATGTTTTCTATTTCTTAAATATCAATACGGAAAAAATGTTTTATATTTTTTATATAATATAGCAATGTCAAAAGCCCGAAGGATAAGAAAGATTTCCGTGTTTACAAGGCGCGGTAAATTTCCCGTGTTGACATCGAGTTATATATTTTTATTTTTTATTTTTTTTTTATTAGCTTCGCCAACTAGGGCAGGGTCACCACAACAGCATATGCCAATTACTGTGGGCCCTTTTTACCTAACCCACCCTGTCAACTTTTCCCTGTGGGAGGAAACCGGAGTACCCGGGGAAAACCCACGGCGTTCGGCAGAGCGTTGACTTTACTCTTTTCACATGGGGACTGGGTTCGAGTCGCACTGAGAAGGTACTTAGTGAGATTCGAACCTGCAGCCTCAGAGGTGAAAGGCAAGTGCGCTAACCACTTGGCCACCGTAGCCCCTATCAACACGACTCTTTCAGTCAGCGTTCAGAATTTACAAATGCTATATTATAAATTTGTTTTATAATATAGCACAAAGAAATATAAAGAAAGAAATTTTCCGACGTTTCCGTGTTGACATTGAACAAGACGCTCTACGGAGCGTCAACTCGCTGGGGCTATAGAACTACGCACATTACTGTACAATGTACATGATACATACAGTACACAGCTCTTTCAATTATTATTCAAGGTTTTCACCGAGCTATGCGGAAAAGTCGAATGCGAGCGCGAATGGCTTAAAACAATACAGTACTAAAATGCGGCAGGCCCTACAAGTATAAAGTTACATTTAGTACGCTACATTCTTCAAAACTGTCAGCCGCTAGTTGGTCTAGGATTAAACTGCGCTTTAAAACGTTCAAAATAAAATATTACTTTAATGATTTCGAGTGATTGGCAACAATACAATTTCGCTTGGCTTTCAAAGACAAAGGCCATAAATCGCTAGAACACTGTTGTTTAGTAATACATCCGTAATTAGTACATTTTCTAACGCTGAATCGAACGGTGGTTTAGCGCCATTAGGCATTACAAATACACTATGAAACGTACTGTGAGCGATTTGTAAACAAATACAATTTCGCTTGATTTTCAAAGGCCATCTGGCCATATAAAATCGCTAGAATACTGGTGCTTAGTAACACATTTGACATCCGTAAGTACAATTTCTTACGCTGAATCGAACAGTGGTATTTTAATCTTTATTGCGCCATTACAAATACAACTAGACAAACCTGTGGACAAACGTAGTGCGAGTGATTTGTGATCAGCAATACGTACTACAATTTCGCCTCATTTTCAAAGGCCATAAATCGCTAGAATACTGGTGTCTAGTAATACAGTTGTAAGTACAATTAATTTCTTACGCTGAATCGAACGGCGGCGTTTTCTTCTCAAAATATAAAGCAGCGCAGTCAAACGTATAAACTTTTATAAACTTGCGATTTGCGCAGTGCTTCCATAACCAAAATCGAGATTTCCTTTTTCGACGATGAAAATTTCCTGATATTTCCTGATTTTTTCTCCGGAATTCCTGATATTTCCTCTAGCATAAAAGTAAACTTAAAACTTTGGCGGAATACGCTTCGTTTTCGCGTTTTATTCTCCATTAAGTCTTTTAGTAATTTTGTAACAAGAATATCAATGGCTAATGAAAATATCAAAGACCGTTTCAACTTCTTATCAAACCAACCGGCAACCAAGGCCGAAACTTCGGTATTACGGCTGGGGGGGTGTGAGTTTGCCCGACCAATAGGGAGTGCCCGACGCACATTCCAAAAAAATTTTCCCAAAACAAGTTTTCCGCCTTTCCGGACAATAAGCTCCACAATTAAGCTTTCACAATTTCGCCTACAACTGTTACTTTTCAATAAATGATGTAAAATTGTTTGCTCAGTTACTTATTTTTGGCCCGACAAGCGTGTCGTTGAAATTGTTAAACTTGCCCGACCAAACTACAATATTACAATATTGGGGAGGGGGGAGTCTCACAAC